AAAAAAAAAAACAAAAAAAAAAAACAAAAACGTGACTGTTCCCCTTTAAACTTCCAGTAATTAGACGGAGCCTCCACCACCCGATGTTTCGTTACCTCCCCGGCCTATTTCATCGGAATTAAACAGCACTTAGGCCTCAGAAGATACTGCAACCGGGTACTTTTATCCGGGCGAGATAACAAAGACCAGGCTGAACGGCCCCGTGCACAACCGCGCCCTCCAGCAGCTAACAGGGTGACAAAGACGTCTCTCGGCCTACCCGTTTCTCTAACTACGGAGGTGCAGCTAAAACTCAACACAATAGATGCATCTCAACACTTTTTCTTCAAAAGTACGCATACTTTACTTATAAACCGCCAGAGAGCACACACACAACCCCTCTGCAGCGGGCAACACGTCACAAAAAATAACAAAGAACTTAGCAAGGTTGAACACACAAAAACAATACAAAGACAGAGATCCAGACATTACACGGAGCCCATCACTGCGGCCAGCCGACAAAACCTCATATAAACCGCCCTGAGTCTCTGAGGCATAAAAATAAAAAAAAAAACAGAGATAAATATGGCCAATAAAAACCTCTGCTAATTCATTATTACCCTTTAAGACTGCGCAGGCCTGTTCGTTGACGCCATTTTATGTTGTGTTCGGCTCGGTTCACTTTTGGCTGTCGGCGGCTTGGACCCTCCGTCTCTCTCGTCTGCTTGCTGCTGCTCTTCTGGTTTGCTGGAAAATCAGAGAGCGTCTTGCCTGAAAGTTGTTGAATGTTAAAAAACTCCTTCGGCAAACACATGAATGAAAAAATGACGATAATCTTCAGCTTCTGGACAAGGTTTATTAGCGAGAGAGATTGGACAGGTCCTCACAGCGAGATGTAAAATTGGACTGAACAAAGGGCACGCACCCGCTCGGAGGCGCGTTCACATTTCTTAAAGGCACAGTACATGAAATTCACTACAGTAGTTAAATATGTAAATTTGAGTGTGCAGGGGCCCGTTGCTGATTGGACCATGAAGACTGGAGGACAACTGATTGGAGGCCTGCAGCAGGTGGCAGTGATAAAAGGAACTGAAGTGGACTTCCCAGCCGTTCATCCTCAGCTTATCTCAACTGGTCACACAACTTGTCTTTGTAAATAACATTAAGAAAACACTTAAGGAGTTTGTAGGAGTGAGCTGCCATTTATTTTTGATACCATTTTTTTCCTGTTTATCTTATTGTAGGGGGGTAAGTTTTTGTCTTTTATTTATTTTATTTTAACTTTAGGTAAGTTTGGACTAATGAGACAGTTCCCTTTTGTTTGTTATTTTTGGCACATAGCTCACTCTGAAGCCCAAATCCTCCTTTTATACCTTTTTGAAAACATACACTTTTAAAAATAAAAACAATTTTTGTTTGTTAAAACTGTGTGTTGCCTGCTTGAGGTCTGGTGAGGATGGATCTTTAATGCTGTGACCTGACCCCTCCTAGACAGGTCGTAACAATGGGAACACCTCGAAAGTCTTTGATCTTGAATTAATCAGATTGGTGAAACGGTATAATCCAAAGGTAATCCAAACTGAAAACTTTGCGTGGCAAGAGTTTTTCTTCAGTTATTGTGGAAAAGGAAAGGAAAAAAAAGTTCAGTCTTTTTTTGTAAGGTTCCCATAATGTCTGTGGGTAACTCCCTTTGACGCAAAACTTTAAGTCCATTGGGCGACAGAGTCTGTAATCCACTGGAAGCAAAAGTAATCCACAAGGAAAATATATATATATTCCACATGGCGATTGTTATGGCTGATCCAGAGTCAACCAATTTCTGGAACAGCATAGCGAAGTGAAGTACTGGAACCCCCCTTTCGAGAGTCAATCTCTGGAAGGTTGCAGGTTWACAGGGGATCTCTGCATCGAAGATGGAGATGGGATCTCTGGGTCGACGATGGAGACCACCAACAGGAGCAAAGAGACCACTGGAACAGCGTGAAGATGGGTACCCCCAGAAGGATGCAGGTCAAGAGTGTCGACACTTGTAGAGCCTTGGAAGAGGAGGTGGGCCATCGTGGAGAGTGTTGAAGGCTGCTTTGTTTCCAGTTGATGCCCTTCTGGTCACTATGTGTTGTGCATCTATGTGGTTTTAGGTTAACCTAAAGTTGGGTTTTTACATTAGGCTAATCCTGTGTGTGCCTCTGCATGTTAGCTAGCATGCTTTAGATAAGCTACAGGTAGTAGTTAAAGAATGGGTCATTGCTTTAACTAAAGGGTAGATATAGGGGTTTATATCTATTAGAGGCTAAAGAGGGCTTCTGTAAGGAAGGCCTCAAATTCAAACTCCATTAACTATTCCTCCTTTCATAACTTAGTTATGCTAGGGCAATAATAGAAAAAATAGTCTGGTTTTGTCTTCTGCTTTTGCAGTTGTCACTCAACGAGCGATTTTAGATTCTTCAAATTTTGTTTCTATTTTCCCTTAATTTAGGAGTCTATGTCGAGACTCATGTTTTGAAGATTAAGTAGCCCCCCCGATTGGTGTTGATTCGAGCGAGGTCTATATGAAAAGAGTGGCGTGGTTAATGTAGGTTATGGTACCTAAAGTAGCATTAATCTACTGTACATTTCCCTGTAAAAGATGAGATCTATCAATGACTGCATGTGTGAGGATGTGTGTTTTGTCAGTCTGTGTTATCTCCCTCTTGTGTTCCCTCATTGTTATCACACATTCCCCTCAATCTGGTTCCTGCTGTTTAATCATCCTCACCTGTTGTCATCTCCAATCAGTCCTGCTCCCAGGTGTTCCTCATTTCCTCATTCCTCTGTCTGTATAAAGTATATACCCTTCTCTTCAGTTCATTCCTCGCTGGATCATTACATGGATTACTCCTACTGTTTTGTTGTCCTCGTTGTCCCTCAGAGTTTTAGTTTTATTTTAGCTTCCCTGACAGCTCTTTGTTTTGTTTGTTTAAATAAATCTTTATATTTAAATCTCATCCACGTCCAGATTTGGGTTCATTCTGCACCTCAACCTAACAGAATGATCCAGCCACGACAAGAACTTTCCGGGAGGATGAATTATTTTGATTTTTTTGAGTAGTGAGAATTATTTTTCGGCGTTTGGGGGGGGAAAGAACCCTGCCAGGAGACAGGGACGAAGGGGCTGTGACCGGGAAGTGGAGGTCCTCCCGTCACCTCTTCTAGTGGAGGAGGAGGAGCAGAGGAACATGCAGTTTTGGGGGACTCACCTGGCGCTGAAGCCCACTCCACCATCGGGTCCTTCTCAGCGCCACAGTCGATGACGGAAAAAAGCTGCGGCTCCTCCCAAGCAGTCTGGGTATTTCCATCCTGAGCTCTGTGACAGTGAGCCAGAGTTTGACCCAGACTATGATCCAGAGTTGGACCCATTCTGCCCCGAGTACATCGGATACTGCTCGGCCGGGCAGATGGTTCTCGCCTCTCCAGTTCCGCCTTCATCATGCCTGCCAGCATCTTCTCCGAGAGGGTCCTGGACACCGCCTCCATCAGTACCAACTCCAAGGAAGTCCCAGACACCTCTCACCCCTGTGCCTCCTCCGAGAAGGTCCATGAGACCTAGCACCAACTGCACCCCAGCGAGGCGGGAAGCTTCAACCTCCATCTCTGCTCCGGCGTGGCAGGACGCCGCCACCTCCTGTGCTCCCAGCGCCTCTGTGAGAGTTGACGCCTCCACTGCCTCCTGCACTCCGACGAGGGTCGACGCATCCACTGCCTCCTGCGCTCCGACGAAGGTCGACGCCTCCACTGCCTCCTGCGCTCTGACGAGGGTCGACGCCTCCACTGCCTCCTGCTCTCCGACGAGGGTCGACGCCACCACTGCCTCCTGCTCTCCGACGAGGGTCGACGCCTCCACTGCCTCCTGCTCTCCGATGAGGGTCGAGTTCTCCACTGCCACCAGTGCTCCAGA